AAAATAAACAAATGGGACTACATCAAAATAAAAAGCTTCTGCACAGCAAAAGAAACCATCAACAAAACAACAAGAAAGCCCACTGCATGGGAGAACATATTTGCCAATGTTATCTCCGATAAGGGTTTATCCTCCAACATTTATAGGGAACTCATACAACTTAACAAAAGATAAACAACACAATAAAAAAATGGGCAATGGACTTAAATACTTTTTGAAAGAGGACATAAGGAAGGCCAAGTGACATGAAAACATGCTCAAAGTCACTAATCATCCAAGAGATGCAAATCAAAACGACAATATGGTACCATCTCACATCTATCAGAATGGCCATCATCAACAAATCAAGAAACGAGAAGTGTTGGCGAGGATGTGGAGGAAAGGAACCGTTGTGCACTGCTGGTGGGAATGCAAACTGGTGCAGCCACTGTGGAGAACAGTATGGAGTTTCCTCAAAAAACTAAAAATGAAACTCCCATTTGACCCTGTGATCCCACTTCTAGGAATATATATCCCAAGAAACTAGAAACACCTATCAGAAAGGATATATGCACCCCTATGTTCATAGCAGCACAATTTAACATAACTACGATTTGGAAACAGCCTAAGTGCCCATAAGCAGATGAGTTGATTAAAAAACTGTAGTACATCTACACCATGGAATACTACACTGCGGTAAAAGGGAAGGAACTCCTACCATTTGTAACAGCATGGATGGACCTGGAGAGCATTATGCTAAGTGAAATAAGCCAGTCAGAGAAAGATAAATATCACATGATCTCAATCATTTGTGGAATATAATGAACAATGTAAAGTGATGAGCAAAAACAGATCCAGAGACAGAGAAGCATGGATCAGACCGTCAAACCTCAGAGGGAAGGTAGAGGAGGCTGGGGGTAAGGGGGAGAGATTAACCACCAAAGGACTTGTATGCATGCATATAAGTATAACCAATGGACACAGACACCAGGCGGATGAGGGCATGAGTGGGAGGATTTGGGGGGGGGGGGGACAATGGGGTGATAAGGATACATATGTAATACCTTAATCAATAAAGAAAAAAAAAGATGTTAAATTGAGATTTTTACTAGTAGAATGCTAGTATCACCTTGTATGGTATAGTATGGCATGACTATGGGTCAAGAGAACAACATTCCATAATCTTCTGCAATACTACAGTATAGAAATAACTGGGGAAACCAAGTTGCAGTATTTTTTTACAAAGCACTCTGTGGTATTGAGAGTTCAGAGTACAAGAAGGTACTGTTGAGCTGACTGAAAAATACTAGTTTGTCTTGCAGAGCAATGTTAACCAAACACATATATATTGGAATCATTTTCTACATTATATTGCTTCTAAAGACTATAATTTAATTACCATAGTTTCCCAACTTAAAAATATGAAAGTAGAAGTATAGTACTCTTACTAAGCTGTAAAGGTACATACTAAGGAAGATGCCCAGACAGTGAAGGCTTTGGAAACCATTTTTTTTTCAGGAATGGCTAAAGGAAAGGAAAGATGGTTAATGAGAAGATAATTAGAATTTGGTCTTCCAAATATGTAAATAGGAAAAAGATTAACTTTTTACTGGAGAAACCTGGCAGATAACACCTTAATCAAATGATTAAAATGAACATCAGGATGTGAGGGCCATCTGGCTGCAACATCTGTCACACCATTGATCACACCATTGATTTGGCTGATCTGGCTGGGTAGGCAGGTGTCCTCTTCCTCCCTCACTGCTCCATGTGCATCCTTCCAGAAGCTGCAAGCTTGGTTGAAGAGAACATTCCCAGATAGAGTAGAGGACTGTATTCCGGTCAAGGTTACATGAGTAGCTGCACCCCCCTGCTAAAGCCTCCATCAAGATCTCAAAATGAACAACAGTAATGGGAATAAAACAAAATCATGTGTTGACTGGCAGGATTCAAAGAGGACCTGAATCTAATCAGAAATAAACATCAGACAAACCAAAAATTAGAAATGGTTTACAAAATAACTGGCCTGTGATCTTCAAAAGTGTCATGAGTATGAAAATCAAAAAGAGAGTGAAGAAATTTTAGAATGAAGGAGACTACAAAGGCAGTACAAATAAATATAACATGTGAATTTGAACTAGACCCTCTGCGATAAAGGACATAATTGAGACAATTAGTGAAACTTGAATGAGGTCTGAGGACTGGATGGTAGTATTATAACAATGCTAATTTTATTATTTTGATAGTCATATTGTAGTTATGTAGCAGAAAGTCCATGTTAGAAGCATATATACACTAAAGTACTCAGGGGGCATCAGGTCAACAACTAGTCTCAAATGGTTCAGGAAAAACATTTTCTATGCTATTCTTGCAACATTTCTATAAGTTTGAGATTATCACTTTTAAAAATTTAAAACAAGTATGCCGAAACCGGTTTGGCTCAGTGGATAGAGCGTCGGCCTGCGGACTGAAAGGTCCCAGGTTCGATTCCGGTCAAGGGCATGTACCTTGGTTGCAGGCACATCCCCAGTAGGGAGTGTGCAGGAGGCAGCTGATCGATGTTTCTCTCTCATCGATGTTTCTAACTCTCTATCTCTCTCCCTTCCTCTCTGTAAAAAATCAATAAAATATATTTTTAAAAAAAATAAAATAAAAATAAAAATTTAAAACAAGTATTCAGAGTCATGACATCACTTAAAAAGTGAAAAAAAAATGTGAATAGCTGTGGCTTGGAAGAAGACTTCTGTTTGTCTAGACTGCAATGGTCGGCAAACTCATTAGTCAACAGAGCCAAATATCAACAGTACAACGATTGAAATTTCTTTTGAGAGCCAAATTTTTTAAACTTAAACTATATAGGTAGGTACATTGTTATTAACTTAATTAGGGTACTCCTAAGGCTTAGGAAGAGCCACACTCAAGGGGCCAAAGAGCCGCATGTGGCTCATGAGCCACAGTTTGCCGACCACAGGTCTAAAGTCTCTAGACTCCAGAGAGATAAACTAACATCACTGGGTAGAAATTACCAGGAGGCAAATTTCATCTCAGTATAAACTAATACAATTAGAGTTGTCTGAGAACTGATCAACTGTGAGTCAGTGAGTTCCCTGTACAAAAAAGAAATTAAATAGATAATGGAAGTTCACTTTACAAAGGTATTGCTAGAAAGCATTTTTCTTTGGAAGGAAAGCTAGACTAGATGATGTAAATGTCCTTTTCAACTTTATAGGACTAGTATGTCATGGTTCTACTTCTTTTAAATAGCCCTCTGCTTTGAATCCTGAATAAGCACTGTCCTAGAATAATAATTAAAGACCTCCTAGGCACTGCCCCTTTCTTCAGAGCCCTGCTATGGTCTTCAATAACACTAAAGGCTTCACTTCTGCAATAAAGATTAGTAACTGGCCAGAGTATTCAGGGACTTTAGGAAATCTCCTTTACCCAAAAGAATTCTACTCATCATTCAAGACTTATCTCAAAGGTTCCCTATGCTGTGAAATTCACTGGATTCCCCAAATAGTTAGTGTCATCCACTTTGTATAAAAGCACTGCTACTTCTAGAGCAGGACTGATTGATTCTATTGTATATTTTTAACTCCTAAAATACTTTTCCTTAAAGAAGGGTGCAAAAAGTTTAACAATTTTTTATGCATCAAAAATTATGTGTGTAGTCATCTACTTCTACTCCTATCCCTAAATTTTGCACTCCTGCAGGGCCTGGAAGCTATTATTATTATTCATTTTTTAATCCTTCCACAGGTCTTGCAATGTTTGAGCCTCGAGCAGGTTGGCACACTAATTATCATCAGCACCCATCAAAGAGCTTAGAAACTAATAAGGTTCCAGGACAAACAAAAATATATGTCTCCCTTTCTCTCTCTTTCCCCCTCCCTACCTCCCACTCTCTAAAAATTAATGAAATATATAGATATCAAAGATGAGCAGAACCACAGAAAGCAAATACAGTACAAAACTAGTGTAAAGGATACAGAGACTGGGGACTTTTTGAAGTCAGGACTCATGTTTCATCCATTCCTGTATTTACAACATCCAAGCACAGTACCATAACATATGCTCAAGAACCACTTAATGAATGAAATAGTCTCACCTTTAAATATGTCTTTTATGAGTGGTGCTACTGCTGTATTGAAGATTTCCTCCTGCTCAGTAGAAGGGTCAAACACAAAGTCATAGGTGAAGGATTTGTCAGTACCAACCACCACCTAGAGAATAATGGAGACAAAGAGGAATAAAAAGATGAAAGGTCAGACCACACCCCTCACTGTCCATTGGCCTGAGGTGTTCCGATGCAGGCCCGGGACTGTGTTACGCACCTGCGGTTCTCCAGGTACAAAGGAAAGGCACATCTGACAGCCCTCACTAATCTCTTTGGGAACCAGAGGGCGACATCGTAGTGCCACTCTTACAGGAATTCCCTTCACCTCTTCCGTCATGCTCCTACCTCAGCACCGTCTCTGACGGAAAAAAAGAAAAGAGGCTTGCTGATGAATCTCGGTGGGTTGGCAGCGGTGGGAGAGCGTTCTCCTTAGTCCCGATCCTCCGCAGGGGATAGGGGATGGGTTACTAACCTCAGCGTAGGTGACGCAGCTCTTTCTCTCAGCAGGGTCGCAGCCGCTGGAGTCACTCTCCCTCGGATTTGGCCACGAGACGGCCCGGCAGCCCGATACTCTAAATTAAACAGCGAAGTGTTGTCTAAAATGGAAAGGAAAACCCCTAGCGGAGGCGACGACAAAGACCCACAGCCCCAGGGTACCGGGAAAGGCAGTTCCTAAGGTGTCTCCTCTTCACTCGCCAAACCGAACGTACCTTCTCTTGTCTTCCCGCTGCCCTGTCCTAACCGGAAATTTAACCGCCAAGTTTCAAATTGGCCCTGGAGACGCCAGCCAATCGGAGCGCAGACAGCCGGCGGGAGGTGCACGCACGTCGGCATACGCAAACGCTTTAGGAAGGGGTGGGCCTGCGCGCCTCACGTTGATCCCGCCCCTGGGGACCCGTCGTAGCATCTGCTTCCGGTTCTCAGGCTGATTTGGCGGTGAGGAAAACCTGCGCTGGCTGAGGCCTGTTGGCAGGTGAGATAGCAGGGCAGTTACGTCTTAGAATGCGCGGAGCTCAGGCAGGAGGCGGCGAGGGGATTTGAAGGTGACAGGTGGTGAAGGAAGGGTTGATATGGGGACCGTCACAATTACCGATCACATCTAGGGAATGTGGGCGGTGCCTTGCCTCCCGTCCCTGTGTGGTAGGCAGTTAGACTTGAGCAGAGCAAGGAGGAAGGGCCAGGTACGGAAGGGCACCAGGGTGGAAAGCCCCGGGTGCCAGCAAAGGACAATTGTAGGGTGGGACCTTGCCCCAGGGTGACCTTTCCTCCCCTAGCATATCCATGGTCAAGCGGTTTGGACCCCCTGACTTTTCCTCCCTAGAGATAACATCTAAGCCTCAGTTTTATTTCATCTCCAAGCCCAGATAAGCAACAAAAGCAGCCACAGCTGACCTCAGGACCAGCTTCATTGGATAATGAGCCCCCCGCCCCCTCTGGTGCCATCCAGTCAATCAGTAGAGACCTAGACCCTGAAAGAAACACCTGGAAAACTGCTGAATAGTCTATTGAGATCTTCCCCTTGGACCGCCCCTAAAATCTCCACCATGAAAACCCTTAGGACAGAGTACCCAGTGCTCTCTCCCTCCTGGGAGCACTCCAGCGCCTTTCCCTTTACCCCTCCACCGCCCTCACCATTATCTTCCTCACTTCCAAGCGCCAAGGGCCCTTCCTTTACTTCTATAACTTGTTTCCTAAGCCCACCTCTTCTACAAATTACTTCTTCCATTACGTTGTGATTTTATAAATAAATGTTCTCTTATAGTTTCGGTCTTGACTGTAAATTCTTTCTTAGCCAGAATTCAAATACCAAGGTTGCTGAACCTGGGTACCATCTGACCCCATGGGTGTACCACCTGGTGCCGTTCCTGCCACCTACAACACCTGTGGATAGTTGGAGTCAGCACTCCCTTGGACTTTGAAAGTAGACAGATCTTTGTAGATGCCATCCTGCTTGCCTCTTCTCTAGGTTGAAGAGAGTAGCATCTATTTTGCAGGTTGTGAAAAAGGACATCATCTCTATAGAGGACCTAGAAGGTTGCTTGGCATCCAGATATCCAGCAAAGTTCATTGTTTTCTTCCATCTTCTTTCTTCCTTCTTTCCACCAATCAATCACCTAGAAGTGGGTTGATACCATAGGTGAAAGCCTTAGGTCGGAGTTGTTTTCTGAAACTTGCTGGGCTGCTGTCCCTTTTGAACCATCTTTGTCAGCTTTGATTCACTTTTCCATTCTAGGGCCTTGCCGGAGATGGACAGCCGGATTCCTTATGATGACTACCCAGTGGTTTTCCTGCCTGCCTATGAGAATCCCCCAGCATGGATTCCTCCTCATGAGGTGGGAACCATCTATACTCTTGAATAACTGATTTTCCCCCTTGGGCATGGGATGATATATGAAAGGTAGGATAGCAGGGTTAGAAAACTCAATAGAGAATGATTCTTAGCCTTTGTTGTAGCCAAGGGACCCAGAAATTGGATTCTGAGCAACTGGGCCCATTGGAAGATTCTTATGGAATTCTCCTTCCAGAGTACATTCATACCAGAGAATTCTGAAAATTCAGAGCCCTGCTTTCCATTCTGTCAAAGTAAAGAAGTGGAGAGCTACTGGACTACTAGCATTTCCCCAAGGTATCCACCTACCCATTTGGACAGTGTTATCTGTTCTATTTAAACTAAGGCCATGACTTTACCTTTTCCTGACTTCAGGGTGATACATTTGTGTTCCAGATGAAGATGGTTATAAAATCTAAGACTGGTAGTAAGATTTCTGGTGTTGCTGTGTCTTGCAGAGAGTATACCACCCAGACTACAACAATGAGTTGACCCAGTTTCTGCCCCGAATCGTCACACTAAAGAAGCCCCCTGGAGCTCAGGTGAGTTAATGGAACAATGATGTCTTATTCCAGGCTAGATTTGTTCACACCAGACCCAGAAGTTAGCTGTGGTTGGGATTACAGATTGGGAAGCAGGTAGGGAGGTAAGGAAACTACCTTTATTGGGCAGAAAAGCTGAGGTACCATTTCCACAACTTCTGACTTCTCTCTGAGGGACACATAGCCAAGCTATCATATAGTGATGCTACTAGATATTCTTGTGTTTATTGTCAATATTGAGCCCCCATTCTGTGCTCTTGTCTTGCAGTTGGGATTTAACATCCGAGGAGGAAAGGCCTCCCAGCTAGGCATCTTCATCTCCAAGGTGCGTGTACCTGGTAGGCAATATGGATAGCTACTTCCCTTTGTTATCAGATTGCAGAACTGTGATGTCCCAGGGCCTGGGAGGATGATTTAGTAGACTCTTAGAATGGGGCATAATGAGGAAACTTTCCCACTTAAAACTTCCCACCTGGCAAGCATCTGTTTCCCTACATTTTCACGCACATGTGTGTGTGTGTGCGTACACACACACACACACACACACACACACACACACTAGCACCTTACATTTGGATAGCACTTAATTTCACTTACAGTCTTTGAAATTACCCCACCTCAATCAGACATATTCTCTCCTTACCAACAGGTGATCCCAGACTCTGATGCACATCGAGCAGGACTTCAGGAAGGGGACCAAGTCCTAGCTGTAAATGATGTGGATTTCCAAGATATTGAGCATAGCAAGGTGAGCACAGCACTTGGGCTGTGGTGAGGCAAGAAGCGATCCCAGGCCGAAACCGGTTTGGCTCAGTGGATAGAGCGTCGGCCTGCGGACTGAGGGGTCCCGGGTTCGATTCCGGTCAAGGGCATGTACCTGGGTTGCGGGCACATCCCCAGTGGGAGATGTGCAGGAGGCAGCTGATCGATGTTTCTCTCTCATCGATGTTTCTAACTCTCTATCTCTCTCCCTTCCTCTCTGTAAAAAAATCAATAAAATATATTTAAAAAAAAAAAAAAGAAGCGATCCCAGGTAGGACAAGTTGGACAGGATTAGCCTAATCTGTATGTAACTTGGTAAGAAAGAATCTCTCCTGAGGAAGTGTACCAGAAGGAAGCAGCTGTTAGTGACCCAGAAGGTTGGAGTGGCAAATGACTTTCCTCCTGTTATGATTCTCTCCTGGGTCATATCTTCATTTGTACCAGCTGTTTTGCTCCTTTCAGGCTGTTGAGATCCTGAAGACAGCTCGTGAAATCAGTATGCGTGTCCGCTTCTTTCCCTACAGTAAGTGTCACTCTCTTTTGTCTTACTTGGAAGGGCCCTGGGTAGAAACTCTTGAAGTCCTGATTATTAGAGCCCTGATTATATGAGTCGGGAGCTCAGGCCTCAAAATAACCTGCTTTTTTCCTCCTTTCTTCTTTTCCCCAGATTATCATCGCCAAAAAGAGAGGACTGTGCACTAGAGAGCTGCAACCCACAGCCCTTCACATGAAATCTTCTAGGACAAGCTGGGCAGGCCTCAGGGAAGCCACATAGTCTCAGACATTTCCGAGACTCCCGTAGGACCCTGTTTTCCCTCCTCTCCCTCCTATTCTCTCCTCCAAAAAGTAAAATGCCATGCTGAAGAAATGTTGGTGTGATTTTTGGATGATACTCATTGAGTGTAAAATGCTATTGAGACAAAAATAAAAGCTCTTTCAAAGATAGGAGTCACAGGATGTAACAGAGCAACACTATACCTACTTTACAGTTATCTCTATCTGCCCAGAACAGCAGGGAGGCTGGGAAATCTTAGCTACAGTAGAGCTGAGGAATGGTATAGGGTGGAGAGTACTGGAGGAAACCTGCCCTTTCCTCTGTGATCTTTGAACATTTCTCTGCGGGGGTTGGGGGATTTTAATATTGTTCTGTCTTCTCCTTTCCCTGATTCTTTGATCTGGAACATAAACTAAGGGAGAGGCTTAGGTGCATTTATTTTCAGGGATAACAGTAAGAAATTCGTTCCCAATTTCCAACTTGTAGGTTGAGTAATTCTGACAGCTGACTTCCCCCTTTTCTTCACCCCAGCTCCTAAATAACCTTCTGCCATGTTTTTAGTCCTTTAGTTACAATCTTTTGTTAGAGATTCCAGGCCACACTTTATGTCATTTCCATTGGCATGTTCAAAATACCCATTCAGAATAGAAACTTTTCTAATGAGGCATGGGATGAAATTCCCCAATAATGAAAATCCCAATTTTTCTTTGAAAGAATCCTGGGAAGCTTAAATATATATTTCCAGGCCCTTCCCCTGGAGAGTGATTTTGTTGGTCTGAGATGGAGCCTAGAAATCTGAAATTTTAAGTAAGGTAAATAAGTCTTCAGTTCTAAATACAATAGTAGTGCTATATCTCTATGAGGAAGTTCTGGCTCTTCCTGTAAATTCATCCCAGCTCTGCTATGGTACTTCTTCTAGAGGAGGCTTGGTGCCATTGTTAGGTGGCAACATCCTTGTGAGCAGAGCTAGAGGCAGAACTCATTTAGCAGTCTCTGTATTTCCTGGAAATTCCCTTTTACTCTGTTCCTATTGCTCTGCTGCCCCCAAGTGGCCATCTGAATAAGAAACTTTTTTTTTAATTGCTTAAAGTATTACAAAGAGTATTACATATGTCTCCTTTTTTTTTTTTTTCCCCCGCCCTTGACAATCCCCCGGCCTCCCCTACCCCCCAGTGTCTTATGTCCATTGGTTATGCTTATATGCATGCATACAAGTCCTTCGGTTGATCTCTTACCCTCCCCCCTCCTGTCCCCCAACCCTCCCCGGCCTTCCCGCTGTAGTTCGACAGTCTGTTCAAAGCAGCTCTGCCTCTGTATATATTTTTCTTCAAAAGTTTATTATGGTTTTTATTATCCATAAATGGGTGAGATCATGTGGTATTTTTCCTTCATTGACTGGCTTATTTCACTTAGCATAATGCTCTCCAGTTCCATCCATGCTGTTGCAAATGGTAAGAGTTCCTTCTTTTTTACAGCAGCATAGTATTCCATCGTGTAGATGTACCACAGTTTTCTAATCCATTCATCTACTGATGGGCACTTAGGCTGTTTCCAGATCTTAGCTATGGTGAATTGTGCTGCTATGAACATAGGGGTGCATAGATCCTTTCTGATTGGTGTTTCTGGTTTCTTGGGATATATTCCTAGAAGTGGGATCACTGGGTCAAATGGGAGTTCCATTTTTAGTTTTTTGAGGAAACTCCATACTGTTTTCCACAGTGGCTGCACCATTCTGCATTCCCACCAGCAGTGCACGAGGGTTCCTTTTCTCCACATCCTCTCCAGCACTTGTCGTTTGTTGATTTGTTGATGATAGCCATTCTGACAGGTGTGAGATGGTACCTCATTGTTGTTTTGATTTGCATCTCTCGGATGATTAGTGACTTTGAGCATGTTTTCATATGTCTCTTGGCTTTCTGAATGTCCTCTTTTGAAAGGTGTCTATTTAGGTCCTTTGCCCATTTTTTGATTAGATTGTTTATCTTCCTTTTGTTGAGTTGTATGAGTTCCCTATAAATGTTAGAGATTAAACCCTTATCAGTGATAACATTGGCAAATATGTTCTCCCATGTAGTGGGCTTTCTTGTTGTTTTGTTGATGGTTTCTTTTGCTGTGCAGAAGCTTTTTATTTTGATATAGTCCCATTTGTTTATTTTCTCTTTAGTTTCCAATGCCCTAGGATCTGTATCAGAGAGGAAGTTGCTTCGGCATATGTCTGAGATTTTGTTGCCTTTGGATTCTTCTAGTATTTTTATGGTTTCCCGTCGTATATTTAAGTCCTTTATCCATTTTGAGTTTATTTTTGTGTATGGTGTAAGTTGGTGGTCTAGTTTCATTTTCTTGCATATATCTGTCCAATTTTCCCAACACCATTTATTGAAGAGACTATCTTGGCTCCATTGTATGTTCATGCCTCCTTTGTCAAAAATTAATTGAGCATATTGGTTCGGGCCGATTTCTGGGGTCTCTATTCTATTCCATTGATCTATATATCTGTTCTTGTGCCAGTACCAGGCAGTTTTGAGAACAGTGGCTTTGTAATACAGCTTGATATCTGGTATTGAGATCCCACCTACTTTGTTCTTTCTCAGGATCGCTGCAGCTGTTCGGGGTCTTTTTTTATTCCAGATGAATTTTTGGAGAGTTCGTTCTAGATCTGTGAAGTATGCCGTTGGTATTTTAATGGGAAGTGCGTTGAATTTATAGATTGCTTTGGGTAGTATGGACATTTTAATGATGTTGATTCTACCAATCCATGAACACGGTATGTTCTTCCATCTGTTTATGTCTTCCTCTATCTCTTTTTTCATTGTCCTGTAGTTTTCTGAGTAGAGGTTTTTTACCTCTTTAGTTAAGTTTATTCCTAGGTAGCTTAATTTTTTTGGTGCTATGGTAAATGGGATTGTTTTTTTAGTCTCTCTTTCTGCAAGTTCACTATTGGTGTATAGAAATGCTATAGATTTCTTGGCGTTAGTTTTGTATCCTGCTACATTGCCGAATTCTTTTATTAAGTCTAATAGTTTTTTGATAGAGTCTTTAGGGTTTTTTATGTATAATATCATGTCATCTGCAAATAAGGACAGTTTTACTTCTTCTTTTCCAATTTGGATGCCTTTTATTTCTTCTTCTTGTCTAATTGCAATGGCTAATACTTCCAGTACTATGTCGAATAGGAGTGGTGAGACTGGGCATCCCTGTCTTGTTCCTGTTCTTAGGGGAAATGGTGTTAGTTTTTGTCCATTGAGTATGATGTTGGCTGTGGGTTTGTCATATATGGCTTTTATTATGTTGAGGTATGATCCTTCTATTCCCACCTTGCTGAGAGTTTTTATCAAAAATGGGTGTTGAATTTTGTCAAACGCTTTTTCTGCATCAATTGATATGACTATGTGGTTTTTTTCTTTCAATTTGTTTATGTGGTGTATCACGTTTATTGATTTGCGGATATTGTACCATCCTTGCATCCCTGGGATAAATCCTACTTGGTCATGGTGTATGATCTTTCTGATGTACTGCTGGATCCGATTTGCTAAGATTTTATTGAGGATTTTGGCATCTATGTTCATGAGGGATATTGACCTGTAATTCTCTTTCATTGTGTTGTCTTTACCTGGTTTTGGTATGAGGGTGATGCTGGCTTCATAGAATGAGCTTGGAAGTGTTCCTTCCTCTTGAATTTTTTGTAGTAGTCTGAGGAGGATAGGTTTTAGGTCTTCCTTCAATGTTTGGTAAAACTTCCCTGTGAAGCCGTCTGGTCCTGGGCTTTTGTTTGCTGGAAGCTTTTTGATGACTGCTTCAATTTCTTCCATAGTTATTGGCCTATTGAGATTTTTAGATTCTTCCTGATTGAGTTTTGGAATGTTGTATTTTTCTAGGAATTTGTCCATTTCCTCCAGGTTGTCTAGTTTGTTGGAGTAGAGCTGTCCATAGTATTTTTTAACAATCATTTGTATTTCTGTAGGGTCTGTTGTTATTTCGCCTCTATCGTTTCTGATTTTGTTTATTTGGGTCCTCTCTCTTTGCTTCTTGGTGAGCCTGGCTAGAGGTTTGTCAATCTTGTTTATCCTTTCAAAGAACCAGCTCTTGGTTTCATTGATTTTCTGTATTGTTTTTTTGGTCTCTATGTCATTTATTTCTGCTCTAATTTTTATTATCTCCTTCCTTCTGCTCACTCTGGGGTTTTCTTGTTGCTCTCTTTCTAATTCTTTGAGTTGTAGAGTTAGATGATTTACTACCATTTTTTCTTGTTTTTTAAGATAGGCCTGTAGAGCTATAAACTTGCCTCTCAGGACTGCTTTCATTGTGTCCCATAGGTTTTGGATTGTTGTGTTTTCATTGTCATTAGTTTCCAGGATGTTTTTAATTTCTTCTTTGTTCTCATTGGTAACCCAATCAATATTTAATAACATGCTATTCAGCTTCCAAGTGTTTGAGTATTTTGGGTTGTTTTTATTGTAGTTTATTTCTAATATTATGCCATCGTGGTCTGAGAAGATGCTTGGTATGATTTCAATCTTCTTGAATTTGGAGAGACTTTGTGACCCAATATGTGGTCTATTTTTGAATCTGTCCCATGAGCACTTGATTGGAATGTATATTCCATGGCTTTGGGGTGAAGTGTTCTGAAGATGTCAATTAAGTCCATCTGATCTAGTGAGTCATTTAGGATTGCTATTTCTTTGCTCATTGTTTGTCTAGAGGATTTATCCAGTGATGTCAGTGGTGTATTAAAGTCCCCTACTATGATTGTATTGTTGTCGATCTCTCCTTTGATATCTTCCAGGAGTTTTTTTATGTATTTGGGTGCTCCTACATTGGGTGCATATATGTTTACCAGGGTTATATCTTCTTGTTGTATTGATCCCTTTAGTATTATGAAGTGGCCTTCCTTATCTCTTGTTATGGCCTTTACTTTGAGGTCTATTTTGTCCAATATAAGTATTGCTACCCCAGCTTTCTTTTGATTTCCATTTTCCTGAAAGATATTTTTCCATCCCTTCACTTTCAGTCTGTGTGAGTCCCTTCTAATGAGGTGGGTCTCTTGTAGACAGCAAATGTATGGGTCATGGTTTTTTATCCATTCAGCCACTCGATGTCTTTTGGTTGGAGCATTTAGTCCGTTTACATTTAAAGTTATTATTGAAAGGTACTTGTTTGTAGCCATTTCT